ACAGACGCTCACCGACGGCCCGACTTTGGTCGACAGCCGACCGTCGGCTTGGTGTGTCAGGGCCTTAAGTCAACAGGTCTGAACGGATCAGAGAAAGACATGAGCTGCAAACAACCATTATTTCTGTTATGGATTATTTTCTGGATGAGTTTATGAAACATCAGACACAGGGAGATAAAGTCCCTGGAACACACTTTTAAAGCTCAAGGTGACGTCATCACAAAAAGATAAAGCTTCTGCAAACTTTACACCCACAGACCATCGATGATTATTCAATCAGGCGACTGTTGCAGCTCAGTGACGTCTCTCCTTATCTGTGATCAGCCTGTCAATCTGTGTGTGTGTGTGTGTGTGTGTGTGTGTGTGCACAGTCAAACCAGTTTGACCACATGCATACCTGTTCTCTGTCCTGTGTGTGTGTGTAAGTGTGTGAGAGGGGCTCCACTGTATTAACTCAAGCCTTTAAAACCCTTATGACATCATGAGAGAGCGGGGGCTCCATCAGCCTGTAAACCCGACCACAGGAGCTGCTGTGGGGCTAAACTCAGCCTGAATAACCCCCTTTGTTTACTCCATTTACTCTACCCCTTTTTACACAGAGATGGCGCTGTAGAGCTGCTGTCAGTAATAGTAATAATACTAATAATGATAAAATAAGAAAAGGACGGACTGTGAATAGTGACGTGTTTATTATGAATACAGTCCACCTGATGCTGGTGTTGTTTCATCTCACTATCACTATCCTCGTTCAGATTTTTAAGAAACCACAGACTATATTCAGCCGCAAAATAAGTCTGAAAAGCTGCAAATCAGAACGGAAGTACAGAGAGTTGTTGACTAGAGATGATACACCAGATGGTGTGAACCAGCAGGTTTTAGCAAGGAATATTTTTTCACTAGTAGAATTACAATTAGTTGCCTGTTTCAAGCTTTCAAGTGAATTATCGACTATTAAAATCGTTTCAAACAAATTTATTTAAAAAAATAAAATAAAGCAAAAAAAACAAAAAACAAAAACAGAAATATATTTAAAAAGTACAGACACTGTCATTTTATGATAAAAATGAAAAACAAAACAAAACATACAATACATTCATATATCAATGCTCCACACCAGGTGCATGAACTTGTGCAACCTTTCTGTAGTAACATGAATAAATAAATATTTAGGGCAACAGATGTTAAAACTCCGTGAACCAATCCACACATAAATAATAAATATATAAAACTTATAAACTGACTTGGTAGAAAAACATAAATGATCTTGTCAGAAGTAAAACCTTATGTACTATGAGAGCTGTTAGCTCAGCTGTGAGCATCCGCTAACAGAAGCTAATGCTAAAGCTAATCACGTATAAATGTAACTACAACAACCAGAATAACAGTCAGCTCTCCGGTGACCTCCCGTGCGTGGAGACAACATTAGTCATTCAGTTATTCTGTTTCTATTATCTCCTGTTAGCTTCTCTGTTAGCCGCTCCCCTGACTGCTAACTGACATTAGCACGTTAGCATGTGAGCTAGCGGCAGCACCTACCCGGCCAAGCCTCCGAACAAGAACTTGATGGCCTTCGGGGAGGTCTTGGGCTTCTTGTCCGCCATGTTTCCGCCGGTCGGTCAGAGCCCGCAGTCCCCCGGTCAGATTCTAGCTGCCTGCCTGCCTCTGTGTGCCTCTGAGCCGGAGGGTCTCCCAGCTCTCTCACCGGTACAGCAGATGCAGCAGCCGGGGCAAGGTGACTCTCTGGAACGGGCAACGTCCGTCAGACCGGAGACACGAACAACCAGTGGACCAATCAGGAGGCGAGGACGAAAATCAACGAGCAGTGACGATTGTTTTGCTGCCTTCAATATCACATCGGCGGCTCGTTAATACGAGCATCATTTTAAATGTCACTTGTATAAAAATTTAAAGAGATTTAATTTAAGATTTTGTGGGAATACAAAATAATTACTAATAGTAGTATAATAGTGACTCTTAAACATTTATCATCACTCTCTACCACTATAATGATCTGATCCTACTTGTAGCAAGCGGAGAGTTTGCGCAAAATCATTTCTTAATTGTAGGGGGATTTGTGATTTATTTCCGACAGTTCCTGAATGCATCAGCAGCTGCCCCACAGCCCAGATTAATCTATAAATATAATCAAATAAATTACTAATAAAATGTATGAGAAATAGATTAAAAAAATCAGTAAATACAAATATAATGATAAAATTTGTAATTTTATAATTAAAATGCATATAATGATGACAATTAAAATAATAATAAAATAATAATTGAAATACAAATAAACTTGTAAAACCCTTTTCTAGGAACATATAAATAAAAACAAATAATGGAATTATGAATATATCCACACAATGAACCAATGCAAAGATAAACAATATATAAATAAATCTAAATTTTAGAAAATGAATTGTTAGAAAAAATAAAGGAGTAGCTAAAAGTATATGAAGTAAAACAACTGAACACGTGTGTTTTATTTTATTTTATTCTATTTTATCTTATTTCATTAGCGTATTAAAGTTTTCTCATTTCTTACGTGGACTGATAGATAGATAGATAGATAGATAGATAGATAGATAGATAGATGAGTTAATAAGGAGAGATAATAATATGTTATTTGAATTATCTAATTTTGGGCAAAGTCCAAGTTGAATAAACAATAAATGGGTTAAATATGTTTGTAAACATTCATTTTTCACTCCCAACGTAAACACAGGAAGTGACTGACGTGCCTGATATCCAATAGAATGCCGGGCTGTCCTCCTCCTCTACGCTCATTGGTTGAAAGCTGCAGATGGGGCGGGGCCTGCAGGATGCAACAGCTTGCTGAGGAAGTAGAGTGATCCGGAGGTGAGTAGAGACACACAGGTGAGATTCTAACGGGATAACCTGCGGTCCGACTCGATTTACCGACAGTGTCCGTGTCTGTCAACGTCTCCAGCAGGTGACGGTGACTTCTGCTGCGTCATGTTTCCGTTATTTCACCGGTTATTCTCTGACGGGTCGGTGTGACGAGGCAGCTAGCGTTAGCTAAGCTCTGCGAGCTAATAACAAGTTAGCATAGTTCGCTCTTTATTTATTTCATTATTGTCATTAATTATGACATACAACACGTGTTATACCGCATGTTAGTGTTGACACATATAAAACATGACGTTTAAACTAGAACAGAAAAGAAAGCGAGAATATTCCACATGTTGTTATGTTATCATCATCATGTCGTCATCGTCATATTTGTTGTTGTCATTGGTGGAAAAAGTACTCAGATGTTTCACTTCAGTAAAAATACCACAGTGTAGAAATACTCTGTTACAAGTAAAAGTCCTGCATTGAAAATTACTCAAGTTTTTAACAGTTATCTGAATCTCTAAAGTAAATTTAGTGAGGTAACAAGTACAATCCTGACTCCTACACGCTGTGAAGAACGTAAACACAAAAAGAAACAATGATTTGTAAATACTTATTGACTTTTAGTCAAAGACAACAAGGTGGCAGGGAAGTAAAGGAAAGAAGGAGGTGGAAAAGGGTACAAGTAGGTAGAGAAGGAAACAAGAAAGTAGAGAAGGCGAGGAGGAGGTAAACAAGCAAAGAAGGTTTTAGTGAAGGAAAAAGGGAGGTGGAGAAGGAAGCAAGGAGGTGAATATGGAAAGAAGGAGGTAGAGAAGGGAGGAAGGAGTTAGAGAAGGAAAGAGGGAGGTGGAGAAGGAAGCAAGGAGGAAGAGAAGAAAACAAGGATTTAGAGAAGGAGAGGAGGAGGAGGAGAAGGAAGCAAAGAGACAGAATGTAAGAGGGAGGTAGAGAAGGGAGGAAGGAGTTAGAGAAGGAGGGAGGTGGAGAAGGAAGCAAGGAGGAAGAGAAGAAAACAAGGTGTCTGGGAAGTAAAGGAAACAAGGAGGTGGAAACGTAAAGGAAAGAAGGAGGTGGAAAAGGATACAAGTAGGTAGAGAATGAAACAAGGATTTAGAGAAGGAGAGGAGGAGGTGGATAAGGAAGCAATGAGACAAAGAAGGAAAGAGAGATGTAGAGAAGGAAAGAAGGAGGTAAAGAAGCAGAGAAGGATTTAGTGAAGGAAAGAGGGAGGTGGAGAAGGAAACAAGGTAGAGAAGGGAGGAAGGAGGTGGAGAAGGAAGCAAGGAGGTAGAAAAGGAAACAAGAAAGTAGAGAAGAAAACAAGGTGTCTGGGAAGTCAAGGAAACAATGAGGTGGAAACGCAAAGGAAAGAAGGAGGTGGAAAAGGATACAAGTAGTTAGAGAAGGAAACAAGGATTTAGAGAAGGAGAGGAGGTGGAGAAGGAAGCAAGGAGACAAAGAAGGAAAGAGGGAGGTAGAGAAGGAAAGAAGGAGGTAAAGAAGCAAAGATGGATTTAGTGAAGGAAAGAGGGAGGTGGATAAGGAAGCAAGGTAGAGAGGGGAGGAAGGAGTAAGAGAAGGAAGCAAGGAGGTAGAAAAGGAAACAAAGTAGAGAAGAAAACAAGGTGTCTTGGAAGTAAA